GGAGGGGGGGGGGAGGGTTGGAGATAGGTAGTGCAATAATCGTAAATTTTGATTCGATGACGAATGCAGAAGTAGATGGTGAAATTAAAATCAAACTACTGGAAGAGTTACAAAGCCCCCCCCCCCACCCCCCACAATGAGTGGAAAATGTCTCTCGAGCCCACTAAATAGAGAATGATAATAACCCTTGGCTTGGGTCAAGGGAAAGAAATCCAGAATATCGAATACAACTGACCTCGATGAGCATTCATTAACTGGGTCGATCATTGCCACCAGTGAGTATACACAGAGAAGCACTGAATTGACTGTCTGACTCGTCAGTTGTGAAGCAGAGTACCTTCCACTACCCACCCTTGAATTTTGAAGGACACTGCCTGAAATCTCAATGATAAGACTTCCTCATTCTCTTTAACCCCACTTAATCTACCAAAATAAATACGTCAATTGATATATACGAGCTAATTGCAACGGTATTAGGCAAAATGAGACACATCTAAACAGTTGTATCGTACCAATATCTAATTTCTGTCGCCATGTTCTAACCATAAAGTAGACCTCGGAGATTTGTAGTATAAACACAGTCAAAGAGATAGGATTATGTATATAGAATTGAAAGCACTCCAAGATATGCTACTATCGAAATAAAGGCTATACAGGGCATGAATAAAAATCGTAGACATGTCATTTGATAATTGGGATCCAAAAACACAGGCATATTGATCAATAATGTATGCCCCCCCCCCCCCCCACGAAAAAAATGTCAGGCTCCTAGAATCGAAGATCATCCTACTTGCTACTGATGAGGATGACAAAGCGACATAGAAAACCTCGGGAATTATTCATACCGAGACACAACAGAAAAACACTGGGGGCTTTGAGCTTCGCTTTGTCGGCTTCTGCCATCAATGCGGACGCTAATGAACGCCTAATCAACCCACCACAAAAAAAGAAATATATATGCAACACGCAGATGCAGTTATAGACCAGCGAAATAACAAATGAATACCTATGGCAGTTAATTACTAGCTGGTCGTAATGAACACGATAAGACAACGTTCTAAGAAAACATGCTCGTATTGGCGGAAAATGAAAACCAAACAACGAAAAACTTTCTAAATACGCTTATACCCATCTCTTTGATGAAAGCGGGGAGGGGGAAGAGTTAGATTATATAACTCAGTCAAAAATTATGGAAATATCTACTTCGACATACCTTCGAAATCGACCAAGCCGTCATGATCAGCGTCAGCCTCTTTGATCATAGCCCGAACGTCGTCGTCCGTGACAGTTTCGCCCAGGAAGTGCATTGTCCTCTTGATCTCATCATGATCGATGTATGAATCATTGTTGTGATCGAAAACCTGCAGGAAATAGATAAATCAATAAGCAACGAAACGCCTGGAACAAGGTTTAGGGTTCACCTCGAGTGAAATGGAGAGGGTTTTGCTGTTGGGCTAATCCGCTTAGTTTTAGCTCAAAGCTTTACAGCCCATGGAAGTAAATTAGCTCTCGTGAAAGTAAAAGTCAAATGACACAGGTTGGACATCATGCACAGTTGAATAAGAATATGGACAGCTCAATGCTGTCAATTAACATGCATGCCTACCCAATTTACCCTTCTTCCACCTATCGAATTTTATTAAAATTAATTTTTTTCCTCAATTCCGATGTTTTTTATCAAAACTTTCAAGGGGAGGGGGGGGGGGTTTGCAGTGCTATGAAGAATAGCCCGAAGAGGAATTGATAGGAAAAAAATTTTCACAAAATAATATGCACGAAAATCCAGAAAAGCGAATATGAGGCTAATTATTTAAATTAGATTCAGAGCCTCCAATTGATAATCCTTCAAAATTACATTTCGAAGGATAACAAGCATTGGCCTGGGGGATAGTAGGAGGGAGGGGGGGTGGGAGGTGAGGAAGGTTTATAGTATTGACAGATAAGCACTACATCCTTAATGCTGTAAGTCATTTGCAACAATACAAAAGTAGTTATGATTAGTGCAGACTAATAAATGCACCCGAAGCTGGAAAACGCCATTTGTCTAAGTTATTTAGAAGCATTGCAGGTCCTTAGCACTGGCAAATACCAAAACATTCAAGGAAACAATTAAGATTAGGAACCAGCTGTCACCGACCAATTAAATCGTCACGTGTTTAAAATAAGTTAAAAAGAGGAACATATTTCAGGATCTCTTATAGACGTCTTATTACTGTCATAAAGCGTAGCAATCATTAACAAGACTTGATCAATTACTAGCACATAATGCAACCTTCTTATAGTTCGCGCAAACTCAAATTTGATTGGTACGTAAAACGGGATTAGAACAGAGACAGTGCAAAAAAGAAGATATATTTTAGTTTGATTAATTTTTTGAATTAGCTTAAAAATGGCATTATGAGTTAATGAAAAATGAAATTGTAGAGAGTGTGGAGATTCTAGCCCCACAAATAATTGTCTGAATACCGAGGTTTACCGAAAGTCCGTCCAACCGAATAACCACCCGTGGAGCATATTGCGATGGGAGGTTATTTGGTGTTAAAAGTTAAAACTCAGTCTTACAGCGTGTCTCTATTTGGGACCGTTCTTCATAGGTGAAATATTTTACTTCTGTATTATCGCCCATGGGCGCATATTCGGGTAAGTGATTATTTGATTTCAAAAAAATGGTTTCATGAACTGGAATTTTCCGTTTAAGCGGCATGGGCGGATTTTCGGAAAATACCGGTAGTATATGGGAAGGAAATGCATAATTTTGGTTACATTTCACTGAGTGGAGAAAATGGAGCAACCACAAATAGATTTCACATTGCCGTCAGTAAATTTGAATACATTTACATACACAAAAAATTGATAGGTGCGGTACCTGGGCTCTGAGGCAGACATGATAAAACCCCATTTGAAGCACGGCAACTTGTGAATTGACAGCCCCTCCTTTCCCACCCACTACTCTCAAAATGCTAGAGTACTTTTATGCAATTTGCAGTGGGGTGTGCGATAGACTTACCTCCACGTGGTGCACCCTGAACAAAGTATACTCATAAGGCAATAAAGTCTATTAATCAGCAGTTGGATTCTGACTTCAAACTACCATCACCCCACTGCATATCATATTCGACCCCTTCCACAGTACTCATCTTGCCTTCGCTCTACCTTTGTGTCTGTCTGTCTCATTTACATCTGTGAATCCCTCGTCTGTTCCTCCTCTCGAATTATTCTCACTTTGACGTACCTCCCCTCTGTGAAGCCTGAAGTCAGGCAAAGGGCTAATGATAATTATCAAATCGCCTACCATTTGATATAAATAAATGCAATTTGTAGTAAATTACGCAATATTAAACAATGTAAACCAGACTAGGAATGTGCACCAATGAAGTCTTCAAGAGGTTTGACTTAATAAGTGTCTGCAGGAATTGAAAGAATTGAAGCCGATTGAATGCAATTCCCCCCCCCCCCCCCAGTAAAAAGTGCATCTCTAGCGAGGTAATTTGCAGGCCAGTCTACTGAATTAGCAGCCGAGGCAACGGCACTCTCCGCGTAGAGCCTTTGCTGTTAGGAGTCATAAGAATGTAGCGATTTCTTTTTTTATTGCATCCTGTTAGGGTCAAAATCGAAGCAACTCTTTAATCTACACGCGCTTCTTTAAATTGAATGAAATATCGACATCTATATGACCTCTTCCCCAAATTAAGAACTTTGATCATTTCAAGTGAAGGAAAATGTCAGCTGTAAATCATATTTCAAGTAGGGAAAAAGGAAAAGTGATCTACTTCGTAGTTCTTACACCCAAATTGCTGGTAGAATGCATATATGGGAAGGTAATCAAACTTAACAGGTAAATAGTTTGTAGGTAAAATTAGTCCCTTGAAAACACTAAGCCAATAAAACACATTCCTACTAAGGTAAAAGAAGCTAAATGAGAAAATTCATCAGCTAATTAAGGGAAGCATTCCTCATTGAGCAAGGCAGTTGCTTCCTCCCAGCTGTGTAGTTTTAGAGGTCCCTCGATTCAATCTTTCTACTTTTGAGGTGTGCGATAGACCTACCTCCACGTGGCGTACCCTGGGCAACGTATACTCATACGGCAAAAAAGTCTATAAACCGGCAGTTGACTTCTGACTTCAAACTACAATCAACCCCAATGTGTGTCATATTCGACTACTTCCACAGCACTCACGTCACCTTTTACCACCTTATCTACATTCGTCTTTGAAACACTCTTCTATTCCCCCCTCCCCTCGACTCTCTTTCACTTTGATGTTCCTTCCCTCTGTGAAGCCTGAAGTCAACTAAAGGGCTAATGATAACCATCAAAACACCTGCCATTTGATATAATAATAATAATCTTTCTACTTTTAATGTTAGCATAAATCTTTAGACACTTTAGTTCATATTGTATTTCCTATAAGATGACGTCATGAATAAAACCACGCTTTCAAAACTAAATTTGTAAGCTTAAAAAACGCACACACGAGGATCAATAGAATAAAAGCACCCGATTGAGCTATAACGCCATTACTTTACGCAATAATCAATTAGATTAAACATCCTTATGATCAACTAAAAGATGCTCGTGTGAGGAAACATTTCGGAACAGGATAAAAAGACCGCATAAGAATAGCAAGTTTAAGCAGAAGAGAATAGGTAAAGTGATTCCTCTAATTGGCTCGCACTTTTGTTTCCTTGTTCATTTTACCTCCGTAAAGAAAGGTTGAGAGGAAGCCAAGGCGCCCAAACTATTTCAAGAGCAATAGGAAGCCCATTCGAATATATTCTGATTACTTATGCGTTAGATTACCGAGTATTGGATTTCCACACTCACACCTGGATTGCAAGAACGGCTATGTAGAAGCCGTCTCTGCAATTATTGGCTAACAAAACAGCCAATCATTAACCATCTACTACTTCAAGCCCATATAAGTAAATCTATGTTTTTTTCTTAACGAAAAACAGTAGTTAGAACTGTAAGTCTTCCCTCTTTCCACTTCTTTGGGTCTGAGTGGCTGCAACTTTAACAAGGGGCAATTGAGGAGAGTTAGAATAGACCAGCAACAACCAACAACGGGTCACCTTCGGTTTCTACATTCAACTTTAAAGTTTCAAATTTTATTTCAACCTCTGCATTGTGGAAAATAGCATTTTCAGTAACAATCCCATGTGATTGACTCATATCTTTTTAATAGTTCCATTTCCTACCCCCATAAGTAGAAATTGTCTTCCACAAAGCTCAAAGTTTCCAAGGATTAAATAGAACAATAGTAGACTTAAATTTAAATTAAATTTATGCAATGAGTCAGAAAGTGGATAGAAAAGTGGCCTTCTAAATGCCTGATCGGATAGTATTGAGGTAAGTAAATTGTAATAAAAATAATTGAAAACGGAACCGAGGAACATCAATAAACAATGGTTATAAAGTACCAAAACAAATTAAAAGAAAATAGAGAAGAGTAAAGTTTGTCCGTAGAACAGTTAAAGTACAACAAAGGGGTCTTAAAACTCTATCAGAAAAGTACAACTTCCGAGTGAAGATGACGAAAGA